GCTTGAGCCCAGGAGTTGGAGGTTGCTATGAGCTGTAATGCCATGGCACTCTACCCAGGGGGACAGCTTGAGGCTCTGCCTCAAAAAAAAAAAAAAAAAAAAAAAAGAAGTTGTCTTCTCAAATTTGGTAACTTACCAATCTACGCAAACTGAAATAGCAAAGACAACAGTTTTAATTCTGTTTTAAAAATATAATTTGAAAGTCAAGACACCTATGGTTATTGTATTTAAATTAAACGCACAATTCTGTTTTTTTAATATTTCAATAAATGATATACAAGAAATTTTGATATTGTATACAGTGTGGAATGGTTAAATTAAGCTAATTAACATATCCATCACCTCACATCGTTATTTTTTTGTGGTGAGAACAGTTAAACTCTACTCTTAGCAGTTTTCAAGTACACAATATGCTGCTGACCAGAGCCACCTTGCTGTAGGTATCTGCAACTTACTCCTCCTGCCTAACTGCAATTTGTATCCTTTAACCAACATCTCCCCAGTCTTACCCCGTTCTCCAACCCCTGGTGACCACCGTTCTAGTCTTTGCTTGCATGGGTCCAACACTTTAAGATTCCGTACACAGTGTTTGTTTTTCTGTGCCTGGCTTATTTCACTTAATATAACATCTAATATCTTTAGCATAAAGGCAAAAGACAAAACTACTAAAAATAATAACCACAATAATTTGTTACGGGATACACAACATAAAAAGATATAATTATGACATCAAACCCCAAATGGGGTAGTAGAGCGTTTGTTTTGTTTTTGTTTCTACAATTCTACTGTTTTCTAATTCTTTTTATAATGAAGTCTTCTCCACAAGACCAAACAGCAAAATATACCTTACACAGCTAATAAGTATCATAGGTCCTAGCACAAAGCATATGCACATATCATAGGCATTTGATAAAGACCTATCAATTTCTATACTCTGTTTACTCATCTACCACTTCACTTTTCAAAGATGTATTGAATAAATCCAATGCTTAGGTCATGACAGGAACTCAAATCTTCCCTGAATGACATAATAAACATGAATATTATGGGAAGTATTCTGGGAACATGAAATAATACCTGAGATGGTACAGTTAGCTTCAAAGAGTTTAAAGTTGATACATGAGACAGTACTATATTACAAAGATATATAACAAACAAAGATAACTTCATAATAAGACAGACTCAGATAAGCACAATAGAAATCTAAATACGCTATCAATCAAGTCTGTATGCTGAGAATGGGACTGGGATGGGGCAGGGGAGCGGAGCAGATGTAAGTTTCCAGACACGTGGTGGAAACTTCTCCCATCTTTGTTCCCCAGGGACTTATCTATTGTCAGTACAAGGCTTTCTCCCCTTACTGCAAGGTCTGCTTCCATTCCATCAGACCACAAGATAGGGAATATGTCATATTTATCTTATTTTTCTAGCCAATCACCAGGGTAGGTCTAACACTCAATAATTATATATTCAATGAACTCTGAAAAAAAAAAAATTTTTTTTTTTTTTTTGAGACAGTCTCAAGCTGTCACCCTGGGTAGAGTGTCGTGGCGTCACAGCTCACAGCAACCTCAAACTCTTGGGCTTAAGTGATTCTCTTGTCTCAGCCTCCCAAGTAGCTGGGACTACAGGCGCCAGCCACAATGTCCAGCTATTTTGTTTGTTTGTTTGTTTAAGTTGTTATTGTTGTTTTAGCTGGCCCGGACCGGGTGGGAACCTGCCAGCCTCGGTGCATGTGGCTGGCACCCTACCCACTGAGCTAATTTTTTTAAACTGGAACTCAGATGCACAAAATAGAATTAATCATCATCTTTGGTTCAAAACACTCTCACTATTGGTATGTGCATGGTCTACTGGTTATACAACTAGTCATTTTTAAAGAAATACTAAGTACCCCAAAACCTACAACCCACAACAAGTGATTACCTTTACAATAACCCACATCTATTCATACTTCTTCCCTGCAATTCTAACTCCTTACCGCTGTCCACCATTATCTGAAATCCTAGGCTCATTATTACCTTGATGTCTTTTGTACATAGTTTTAATTCTTCACTTATATATATTCAATAGAAGCTATGATTAGTATTTTTGGTTGTTCTTAACTATTAAAAAAGTTCATTGTGCTGTATATAATCTTTGGGGTCTTAGTTTTTTGACTTATTAAATATTACTAAGATTCATCCATATTGTTGGATTTCAATGTTGCTCATACATTTTGACAATTACAGATTAAACATCTCAAATGTAAAATCCCTAAATCTGAAATGATCCGAAATCTGAAACTTTTTAAGACCAAAATGACACCCACAGGAAATTCTCAATGTAACATCTTGGGTTTTTAGGCTTGGAATGCTCAACTGGTAAGTGTAATGAAACTATTTCAAAGTCTGAAAAAATAAAAAACTTAAAACACTTCTGGTCCCAAGCATTTTGGATAAAGGATCTGTATATATAATGTATTCATACTAAGGGAAAATCATAGTTTTTTCCATCCATTCTCCCACTGATGGACACTTGGGCTATTCCCAGCACTTAGCTACTGTGAGCCCTGCTATAATCACCTTGTTATACATGTCTCCTGGTATACATGTTCATAATCTGTCTTGTGTAAATACCTAGGAATGGAGGTGCTAGGTTATAAGAAATGTTCAGTTTAAGCAGATAAAGCCAAACCTCCTTTCCAAAGCAGTGCATCACTTTATACTCCTATAAGTATGATGCTGGTTGTGGGTGTGTCATATATGGCTCTTATAAATTTGAGGTATATTCCTTCTATGACAAGTTTGTCAAGAGTTTCTATCAAGAAACAGTGCTGGATTTTATCAAATGCTTTCTCTACATCTATTGAGGTGATCATGTGGTCTTTGTTTCTGTGGTAAATTATCTTTCTTGACTTGCATATGTTAAAACAACCTTGCAGCCTTGGGAAGAAATGCACATGATCATGGTGAATTACCTTTTTGATGTGCTGCTGATCTGCTAGTTATTTTGTTGAGGATTTTTGCATCTATCTTCATAACGGATACTGGTGTGTAGTTTTCTCTTCTTTGTTGTGTCCTTTCCTGACTTTTGTATCACAGTGAAACCGGCTTTACAGAATGAGACAAGGAGGATTCCCTCCTCCCGGATGTTATGAAATAGTTTCTGCAGAATAGGTACCAGTTCTTTGTAGGTCTGGTAGAATTTGGCTGTGAATCTATTAAGCTCAGGGCCTTTTTGTGGGACTTTTTTTTTTATTACTACTTTAATCTCACTGCTCATTATTGGTCTGTTCAGGGTTTTTATTTCTTCTTGATTTAGCTTTGGGAGATTGTGTGTTTCCTAGAATTTAGTTATTTCTTCTAGGTTTTCCAGTTTGCACACCTAGAGGTTTTCATACTATTCATGGATGAGATTCTGTATTTCTGCTGTATCAGTTGTAATGTATCACTTTTTACTTCTGGTTGATATTATTTTAGTCCTTTCTTGTGTACTTCTGCTTAAATCTAGCTAGTGATCTATTAATTTCATTTTTTCAAAGAACCAACTGTTTGTTTCAC